TTATTAAATCCCCCCCCCCCCCCCCCCCCCAAAAAAAATGGTAGAGATTGATTAGAATTTGACAGCATTATTGTTCAGCTCTTCTGTTTTGTCTTTATAGTTGTGGCTGGTAGGAGTAGTAAGTGCAAAGAAGACAAATACAAGTTTCTTTATTTTTCACTCTTCTTGTCTTGACCTTATGGTATTACTGGTAACTCTCATAAATGGTTTAGGAAGAGCTTTCTGGCTGTCTGTGAAGATATTGCAGCTGAGCCTTGGTTTGTTTTCAGGCAGGTTTTTCAAAGCACACATCATAATGCTTCGATGCTTCTGTGTTTGTTTTGATTTTTTTCTTGTATGACAAAAAATACACAAAACAGTGAAGTGATCATACATTATAGTGTTGGGGGTTGTAATTTCTAGATGCTTGAGTGCAAAAATAACTTCAAAGCAAGTGTTTGGTTTAGATGATGGAAGACTTTCAAAGATCTTTTAGGTTAAGAGAGCAATGGAGCTTACTTGAAAGGTAACTATAACTTTTTTGGTGAAACTTGCAGTGGGAGTTGCACAGTGTTGTCTAGGAGGATTACAATCAGGCCCTTGAAGATCATGTTTGGGAGGAGGAGGTAGCGGCACAGTGTGTTCATTGTTGCACCATTCCTTAATCTGAACACTTTTGCCTATGAGGCCTCTACTTGCCCTTTTAGATAAAGAAGTAACGGGATAGAGTTAGTATGATTTCCTTCATAAAAAGCTCATGCAAGTGTTAGAGCAGATAATGTCTGGATCAGAAGATTATACAAATTGGTATGAAAGCTGCATTGCAAGTGTTAAGGGGTGTGTGTGTGTGGTTTGTTTTGTTTGTTGTTTTAATGTCCAGAGAAGTTTGGACAATGTGGGTTTGGAGGATGCTATTGAGGGCTGAAGCCTATTAACCTTGCTTGGTGCAGGCCCTTCCTCTATTGTGTGGCTTGGCCATAGCTGCAGAGCACCTTTTTCCCCCCCCCATTTTGCGTTCTGAGATGATTGAGATCTGACTTAAAACTGTTCTTTGGAACAAAGCACTGCACCTTCAGGAAAGTGTGATGGCACTTTCAAATAGCATGGTATGCTTAGTCCTGGCATGTCTACTCAGTATGAAATTTCTGAGCAAGTGCTATGTTTCAGCACATCTGTATACCTGAAACTAGCTACATAAACCAGCTTTTTTTCAGAGGATAGAGCTGTAAAGGTTTTTCATCTTCTTATCCCAGAGTACATGGCAAGATGATGCCCCTTCCTCAGTCATCTTGATTACTGCTGTGTCTCCATATATACACCTTTTTTTTTCTTAGTGATTTACTTTAGAATATGAGTGAAAATTCTTTTCGTGTGTCTGTCAGGCAACAAAAGGGACTATGTTCTATGGGGACTAGCCTATGAGGGACTATGTTTTGTGTTGTTGCGAGCTTTGTTTCTTTTTTTACTTTCACAGTTGTAATTCTGTAGGTATTAATTATGCTGCACTTGCTCCCTGCTACCATGTGTGTATTTGAGACCCCACTGCAAAGCAGTGCTCCTTACCCTGATTGACTTAGACGATTTTATGTGGAATTGCCTGCAAAGGAGGTTAGGTGCTACATACAGGAGGTTGGAGGAAGCGGGTAATAGGCTGGAAGTTTAAAGGAGAATGTAGTTAAGTCAACTGTAGTATGAGGATACTGCTGCCAATGGCAAGAGTACTCATATTTTTACAAATCTCATAGCATCTTTTAAAAACGATTGATGTTCTCCTCTGTTCTGCTTGTTAACTGAGAGATGGTACAGCCAGCACCTCTCCAGGTCTTCTAATGAATCAGGTAGCACTGATTCACTGCAGTACCATTTGGGGAATTCAGGCACTCATTCTTGGCCAGCTTGGGAAGACTGACCCATACCAGCTTTTTGTAGCCTGACAACTGTGACTTGAGTGGTTGCAACACAAAAACTGAGGGTGTGGTGTTCGTGTGTGTGTGTGTGTATACACATTTTATATATATATATATATATATATAAATAAACATAAATAAAATACTCCCTACAAGTCTTGCCTCACATGCTAGGACACGATTTCAGGAAGGTAGCTGAATTCTAAGATGTCCTCTCCAAGGAGCAAAGAGGCACTTAAACAAGTCAGTCTGCAGCAGTGAATGTTGTTCAGTGCCTCAAATGTGCTAATTCCCAAGTGAGTTCAGCTATGCAAATTTAAGTGGAACTCTCTTGGCATAACCTGTGTATTGTTCGCTCTCTGACCGGATCTCCCTGTGGAATTAAAATCCGGTCTACACAAATATGCAGTGCTTGAAGTTCGTAAGTCAGCAATTTAAATTTGAAATACAGTCTTTCACTGGGTTTCAGTTCCTAGTTAGTTTGTTTATATTTGCATCAGTGTTTAGGGTACTAGTACAGACTTTCTGTAAACCATAACAGGGAACTCTGCCATTGAGGGTTTACAGTCCAGGGCAGATTATGGCTGCCTCTAAGTATTTGTGAGAATAAAGGACTTAAGGATTTGAAAGGATGTAATTTCCTTCCCTGCTTACCAGGGTGTGACTTAATTTTCCGTTCTCAAACAGATTTTCCTGGAGGTAAGGTTAAGAGTATGGAAGACTACAGGAAAGCTTAAAATGTTTAAATAGCAGAGCGGTTTATTGAAATGTTAATGCAGAATGGCTTTGGGGAGGGATTCTGTTTTGCAAATGGAAGCAGAGGTTTCCCTGCTGCCTGCAGCTCCTCTGAAAGCCGTGGAATGTTGCCCTGAGCTCTTCCCATTGGCCAGGGATATTTGTCCAGATGTTTGGCTCTTCCATAAAAGATAGGCATTGCTGGACCTGGTGTGCAGTTGAGAGGTGCTGTAGCAAAGAACGCAGGAAAAAAATGACCAGACGTTTGTGTTTGGTTGTTTTACTTCTGTGCCTTGGATTAATGTACCCTCTTGTAATTGGAATTTTTATGGACAAACTTGCCAGCAAGAAGCTGTGTGCCGATGATGACTGTGTCTGTAAGTAATTTTGCTTTAATGTTGGGCAAAATATTCTGAAAAACAACTGTGGAGTTTGTAGCTGTAGCATCAGAAAAACTATGTTCCTTATTTAGCTCTGTTATTTTTGAGTTGGTTTGTAGGCTTAAAAAGCAGAGCAGGAAAGCTTATATTCAATCTTAATTTCACATATACTTACAATACAATACAGTTTTTTGTAAGGGACCTTTTTCACTTCAGTGAGAGGTAAGTGCAGTGAGGAGGACTGCATCTTCCATAATGATGAAATGACATGTTCGTAAGCTGTTACTTTGCTTACTGGAGATGGACAAATATGTGCATGATATTTTTGTAGACTTATTAATTTCAGCACTGCCTAGTTTTGTCTGTAGAAAGTTTTTTGCATGTGTGTGCACCCATACTTATATTTCTCTCTGCATATGAATATTTGACTTTTGAATTCATCTACCTTATTCTTGTGGTTTTTTTTCTAGACACCATTTCCCTCGCCAGAGCAGAAGAGGATTATAATGCTCCAGACTGCAGATTCATAAATATTAAAAAAGGGCAATTGATTTATGTTTATTCAAAACTAGTGAAAGAAAAAGAATCTGGAGAATTCTGGGCTGGAAGTGTAAGATGATATTCTTGTATATCTGAGCAAACCAGAAGTAGATGAACATATATTTTTGTCAATAAACGGAGGCTAACATTGTGCTACTGCGGACTTTTAAAATGCAACTTAGTTTTTCAAAAGTGCATGTTTAAACTTCAGAAATTCATTGTGGAGTCTTCAGGGTTTTACATACTTTTTTTAAGTATGAAAATCTTCAAGTAACTATAAACTAATTATGAACTGACCCATAAAAGAAGGGTTCGACAGGGTGTTTTTGTTTGTTTTCCCTCTCCTGCAACTGCATGTTGACACTACAGAGCAGAAACTTTTGTCATAAAACCCTTTGAATTTAAGGGAAGCGAAGATGAATGTAGCTGTACTTGTAAACTTTCCAGATTGATTACAGGTGGTCCTAATTTGCTCCTAAGAATGTATGCCTGTATTGGAACTTGTGTTAATGGTTTAAGTGCCAGCTAATTGGATAGGCAGTCTAAATTGGATAGGCAGTCTAAAACCAAAGTAAGAAACATTATTAGTAACTGCTTTTGACTAAATTACAAACTAGCTTAAACCGGATGTGAACTGTGCTAAGGTATCTAATTATACATCTCCTTGGTTGAAGGTTTATGGAGAACAGTATGAAGACCATATGGGGACAGTTGGTTATTTCCCTAGCAGTTTAGTCTCGGAACAACATGTCTATCAAGAAGCAAATAAGACCGTTCCTACAACGGTAAGGAATTTGCAAAAGCCCAGCTGGCTGCCTAATTATACTTGGCTGTGTAATGCTAATTTGCTGTAAAAACAAATCATAATTGTGGCAGTTGATTGTAGCGTAGCACAGATGCCTTGGGATCCAGTCTTTGGGCCTTTATACATGCAAATAGCCTCAGTAAAATTGTAACATAAGCTCTGGCAGTGCAGACATTCCAAATGTTGCATTAAGGGCTTGATCCTATTAGAGTTCCTATTGATTTGAATGGTATTGCTTCATGGCTGCACAAGTCTTAACAAACCATTTGCAATGCATAGCAAGAAGCTTTTTTTAAAAAAAAAAAAAAAAAAGTTTGGGTACTGTGCTGTGTATTTTAATGTGCCAGCACATTTTCTATTGTGTGTGTATATGTGGACTTTGTCATAGAGACCTTCTGTTTTTAGTCCCCTGAGTGTATTCTCCCACTCCAAGAAGCAGGTCCTTAGCAAGTGTATGTAAAGATGTTTGCAATATTCAGTTAGAAAGCAGACATAGCATTCTGTAGTTCTTGTTTTAACCAACATTTCTACTTTAAAACATTGGAGAAAACTTAGCAAATTAAAATTTGTGTACATAATAAACGTATGAGAAAAGCATGCTGACTTTCTCATAACAAGTTACTAGTATATCTCAGAAAGGAGGATTGAAAAACTTCTGGGAATTAGTTGGTGTTTAAGTAGGCTGTATTTCTAAAAGGGTGGTTCTTCCTGATCGCATACAGTAGTATCTCATACACCACATACCACATGGAATTTTTAATTTTACTGAAGACTTGAAACACATTTCAGAGTAGAAGAAAGAGGAGGGGGTTTTCTCAGGGGCTGGTACGGTCTGGCTTAAAACTGATGTGTACTGGTAGCTTATTTCTATACTGAAAACCAATTTTTGAGTGGCAGGTTTCCAATAAATGCCTTCATTACTATTGACTATTTAGCTGTATTGTTAGTGCATCACTCCTGAAATCGTATATTGAGCCTTTAATCCTAGGTGCAGATTATTAGGTGGGTTTCATTAGCACAGAGGAAATAAGATGAAATAGAATTCTTCATTTCACTTTGAATTATCTTGTGTCAGACAGGTTTTATTTGAGAAAATTAAAGAAGCAAATGCAAATCTAAAATAAGTGATTGCTTCTCCTGACACTAGGTTACTCTGAATTTGGCCCAGAAGCATTGTAGCCATTCATTAGTCACAGTACATGAAAGAATGACTAAATATATTTCTAAGCTTTTTTTTTTTTTCCTCAATAATATGACAGCCAGTCTGCTGAATAGCAAGCTGAGCTGGAAGTAGAGGTAGATTAAAGTGAAGTCTTAGCCTGCAAGCTGACTGAGTCTAGAATGGTCTTTTGCCAGACTGCAATGCAGAATCCTAACTGAGAAGTAAAAATTCTGTATCCAAATCTTATGCAAAACTAATGATATGAAAGTTTCACAGTTATTTCACTGTTCTTCCACATTCACACTATGCAGGAACTTAGCAACAAAAAGTAATGCACATCTTAGCAACAAAAAGAGACACATCTATTCTTGACTTTGTTTTTCTTGCTCTCCAAATGGCACTGGTGGTCAGTTGCGTGCTGCAAACATGATCTTAAGGATCCAACTCTTTTCTTAGGGCAGATCTAAAATGATCTACAGCACATCTTGATCAATGCCTGTATGGGTGTAATGCTTGCTCAAGAAATGTTCCTTAGATAGGTACAGTTTTATACAAGAGCTAGTGTTGCACAGTGCCCTAGATGCCTTAGGCTGTTTAGTGCTTCCATGTGCAGGTCTGTGGCCTGTCTTCCACTCGGAGCTCTGAAACCTTTGAAACAAACTGTTACGGCAGTACTTTTCCCTTGCTTTCCTGGTCTTGCCACCTGCAAGCCTCAATACTGTTATGGTGGCTTCTCTTGGGAAGCAGTTGCCACTGGTATAAGAATCACCCCTTTTCCTACCCCTTGGCTGTAGATGTGGTTTACATTAGAGCACCTGATAGTATGTATTCCCAAAGCTTAACAACCAGTTAGTGTGCAGCGACAGTCCCTGATCCAAGTGTGCTTCAATCAGTGCTAGCAGCAGCATAAGCAGAAAGAACCACTAGGTAGTTTTAGTGTGCTCTGATGTAGGTATGTGAGGGGGGAAGTATTATGGGAGGGAGGAAGACCTGCTGCACTGGAGGGGAGCCGAGTGTGGGTGGAACACCAGCCCTGTGCCCTCTGTCTGTCTTTTTTTTCCCCCCAAAGTAACTTTCCCTGTTGGAGTCAATGTATGCCATCGGCTACAGACCTGCTAGTAAATCTTTGTGCCTGTGAACCTCTCTCAGCAACCTTTGTGCAACACTAGGGCCTGTCAGATGCCTGTCAGATACTGTTCAAGTGATAAATCTTAGGAGATATTTTTTCCCCAGTGTTGGAACTTCTCAACCATTGAATCATACACTGAATTTGCTCAATAGAATAGACCATGTGTGCTACAAGAGCATAAAACTAAAGTGGTGTTAGATTGCCTTTCCTAAGTCACTTAAAATCAGCCGTTTGCTGGCTGAGATGAGAGTACTTCTGTTACCGGGAGGCATCTGCTCTGAAAGAGCTCCCTGTCTTCTGCTTCCAGTCACTAACTTATGCGTAGCTGTTCTAATGTAAATGTTGTACACTTTGAGTACTACAGCGTAACTCCCTGCAGTACAATCAAGATGAGATCTACATAGGCATATAAAATAATGGCAGAAAGTTAGATGAAAGCAATATGCTGTGAAAGTGTATCCTATGCTGGAAGATTTTGAGCAAAATGCTGGTATTTGTTTTCTAGCCACAGTTATCTGTAAGAAGTGTATCTCACAACCTTAGTCGGCTTCAGGTATCCTTTTCATGTGTGCATAAGCAACTGTTTAACAGTGAGGATAAGGGTTAGCATATGATTCTAAGTCAAAATATGGATTTGGGAATACAAAACAAAAGGAGAGTTGAAGGAATCGTTTTGGAGAGAGGGAGAAAGAGAAACCAGGTATTGCCTGTTTTAATTTAAAAATTTGTGGTAAGAAATCACATCAGCTATGCTGAAGGAGTCAAACACAAGAAAAAAAGCCCTCTTTCTGAGTGTTGGGTTTTTTAAATTTATGTAGCAGATATTTTGAGTATGTTATAGTATATTGAGTGTTTGCATCTACTTATGTACCTTTGGGGTGGGGGATAAAGGGACATTAATTCTTCAGTAATCTGGAAACATCTTTCATTTTAACTCTATTTTGCAGGACATTGATTTCTTCTGTGAATAGTGCTGAAAGTGGTTAGATGATCTCTAGGCTGCTACTCAGAAAAGATGACAGAAACTAACCTGGACACCCTCACTGATCATAAAGAATCCTTTTTTATGGATGTTTGTAAAACATGTAGTCGTTCTTTTAAATGCAAAAATTGATTTGAAGGAGTGAATTTTAAAGGATGGGTGGGGATAGTTGAAAAATTTAGATGTAAACCATATGTGATTTATTTAGAAGTTTTTTCTACCTGCATATACTTTGTTATTGTCAATAAAGTTAATATTAATAGCCTTTGGAGTTCTGTAAGTCTGAGTGGTATAGATATGCTATGTACAAGCTGGAGCTGCACTCTTTTCCCGCCATGTTACATTTTCTGTTAAATAAAAATTAAAAGAAAAATATCTTCCTTGCTGGAATAAATCATCTCTTTTGAGAGCGAGCTATCCTGTAATGGTGAAATCATCAGTAACTTAGGAGCTCAACAGGGGTGTCTGAAACTGTGCCTCACATAACGCATACCCGCACGTTCAAGCTGAAACTGTGGCTCCAAGTCACAGACAGAAAGCAGATGCTGGGGGCCAGAGCCAGGGAGCTCCTTTTTGCTACTTTTGGCTGCTGGAGGGGAAGCAGGGTGCTGTGAATACAGAACATACCCCCACGAATGGTCACCTAGCCCTTATTCCAGCACTGCAGAGTGCTGGTATAAAACACACTGTCCCTTCAGCTAACTGTTGGAAGTTGAAGTAGTATTAGTTTTGTGAAGCTCGCCTAAGGTGTGCTGCACTGCCACAGCTGCTGCTTCCCTGTTTCATTGCCAGCACAGGACTGACGGAAGGGGGAAAAAGTCAGCTTTAATTTTTGCATACGAACACACGGAACTGCGGGCAGAAATACAGAACCGCTCCGAGCTGATCTGTCTCACAAGCTAAACGCTAAATGAGCCTTCAAATGCGCTCTTGTGGCGCTGTACCACAGCGAGCCACCCTAGAACCGCCCTCCTCAACGCCTCCCTCACAACTGCTGCCGGCGCGCGAAGAGCCTTCCAGGAGGGAGGGCCGCGCGCGCGG